ATGTAATTAGACAATAATTATTAAAATAAAAAATATTTATTAATGGATATAAAAAGAGTTTATATTAAACTCTAACACAAATTACCTATTTATTTATTATAAGTTTTTTAATAAAAAAAACTCTAAGTAGACAAGAATTATTAATATAAAAAATATTTTTAATTGATATAAAAAATAAAATAATTTTTCTAAAATTCTACCACAAATTACCTTTTATCATGAGTTTCTTTTAATAAAAGCTAATCTAATTAGATAGGAATTATTCAAATATAAAAATATTTATTAATTCATGTAAAAAGAGTTTTAAAATATTTTCTATAATACTCTAACACGTATTACAAATTACAATTTTTTAATAAAAGAAAATCTAATTTTCATAGTAAAATACAGAAGTTCTACCAAAGTGTTTCAGTATTTATTTAATTATATAAAAAAATATTTATTTATTAATATAAAAAAAGATTTTATCTATACTACTATTAAATGTGTAAAGAGTTTCAGTATTTAAGTATCCATTTATAAAAAAATATATTTATTAATTTATATGAAAAGTATTTTTTTGAAAAAAAAAAAAAACTCTATCAAACTCCAAAATCTATCTAATAAAATTTAAATTAACCTTTTTATCTATTTATTATTATGAATTTTTTAATAAAAGAAAATTGAATTAGACAAGAATTGTTAATATAAAAAATACTTATTAATTGATATATAAAATAAAATAATTTTTCTAAAACTCTACCACAAATTAACTTTTATTATGAGTTTCTTAATAAAATTAAATTTAATTAGACAAGTATATATTTAAATAAAATAAAATATTAAATGTGCAAAGAGTTTCAATATTTCAGTATTTATTTATTTATATAAAAGATATTTATTAATTGATATGAAAAAAGTTTTTATAAAAAAAAAATAAATAAAAGAAAAAATAAATCTATAAAACTCTAAAATCTACCTAATAAAATTTAAATTAACCTATTTATCTATTTATTATAATAAATTTTTTAATAAAAGTAAATCTAAAGTTTCAGTATTTATGTATTTATTTAAAAAATACTTATTAAATGTGGAATGAGTTTCAGTATATAAAAAAATATTTATTAATTGATAAGAAAAGAGTTTTTATAGAAAAAAAACTTCTATAAAATTCTAAAATCTACCTAATAAAATTCAAATTAACTTATTTATTATTATGAATTTTTTAATAAAAGAAAAGCTAATTTTCTGAGTAAAATAAAGAAGTTAGCCAAGGTGTTTAAGTATTTATTTTTTTATATAAAAAAATATTTATTAATTGATATAAATTATTTTTTTATCTATAGTATTATTACATGTGCAAAGAGTTTCAGTATTTAACTATCTATTTTTAAAAAATATATATATATTTATTAATTGATATGCAAAGAGTTTTTATAAAAAATAAAAATAAAAAAATGTCAATCAAACTCTAAAATCTATCTAATAAAATTTAAGTAAATCTATTTATCTATTTATTATTATTAAATTTTTAATAAAAAAAAATCTAATTAGACGAGAATTATTAATATAAAAAATATTTATTAATTGATGTATAAAATAAAATAATTTTTCTAAAAGTCAACCATAAATTAACTTATATTATGAGTTTCTTAATAAAATTAAATCTAATTAAACAAGGATATATTTAAAGAAAATAAAATAATTTTTATAAAACTATATCACAAATCACAAATTTTATGTTCTATAAAACTCTATCAAAATAGACAAAGATATAATATTTAAAGAGTTTCTCTAAAATTTTAACTCAAATTTTTTATTTATATATTTATTAAGTGTTTTTTTTAATAAAAGGAGATCTAATTAGACAAGTATTATTAATATAAATAATTATTTATTAATTGATCTAAAAAGAGTTTTTAAAAGAGTTTCTATAAAACTATATCACAAATTACCTATTTATCTATTTATTATGAGTTTTTTTAATAAAAGAAAATCTAATTAGACAAGCATTATTAAGATTAAAAAATATTTATTAATTAATATACAAAGAGGTTTGAAAAGAGTTTATAAAAAACTCTAACAAAAATTACTTATTTATCAATTTATTATGAGTTTTTAATAAAAATAAATCTAATTAGACAATAATTATTAATATAAAAAAATATTTATTAATTGATATAAAAAGTGTTTTTTAAAGAATTTTTATTAAACTGTAACACAAATTACCTATTTATTTATTTATTATAAATATTTATTAATTGATATAAAAAGTGTTTTTTAAAGAATTTTTATTAAACTGTAACACAAATTATCTATTTATTTATTTATTATAAATAGATTTCCAGAAAATATAATAATTTCTATAAAACTCTACCACAAATTATCTATTTTATTTTCTTTAAAACTCTATCACATATAACTTGTTTTTATCTATTTATGGTGAGTTTTTTTATGAAGGAAATCTAATTAGACAACAATATATTTAAAGAAAATAAAATATTTTTTTAAAAGAGTTTATATAAAATTCTAATAAAAATTACCTATTTAAGTATTTATTATGAATTTTTTAATAAAATATAATATAACTAGACAAGAATTATTAATATAAAAAATATTTAATAATTGGTATAAAAAATAAAATAATTTTTCTAAAACTCTACCACAAATTATCTTTTATTATGAGTTTTTTAATATAAAAAAATATAATTAGACAAGGATATATATATTTAAAGAAAATAAATAATTTATATAAAATTCTATCACAAATTACCTATTTTATTTGCAATGAAACTCTATCACATTAGATAAAGATATATTTAAATAATTTTTATAAAACTCTAACACAAATTACCAAAACTTTACCACAAATTAAGTATTTTATTTTCTTTAAAACTCTATCACATATAACATGTATTTATCTATTTATTATAAGTTTTCAAATAAAATAAAATCTAATTAAATAAGGATATATTTAAAGAAAATAAAACAATTTCTATAACTCTATCACATTAGACAAGGATATATTTAAAGAAAATATATAATAATATAATAATACATATAAATAAAATATAAATGTTAAAGAATTTGAACATTTCAGTGTTTATTTTTTAATATAAAAAATATTTATTAATTAATACAAAAAGAGAACTCTATCACATATAAGTATATAACCCTTGTATTTATCTATTTTTTATGAGTTTTTTAATAAAAGAAAATCTAATTTTACAAAGATATATCTTAATAAAATAAAATAATTTCTATAAAATTCTACCACAAATTACATATTTAAAGAAAATAAAATATAACCTAAGGTCTTCCAAAAACAACAAACTCTATATAATAAATTTTTATATCAATTTCAATCTAATGTATAATTAGTATAATTGAATTTCTATTTTAAAATTTAATTAAAATTAATATAATTGTATTTCTATTGTAAATTAAAAATTATACTAAATTTCCAATTACCTAATAAAATTCAAATTACCTAAAAAAATTTGTTACTTTGCAAAACTCAAATATTTCACTATTAAAAAAAAATTATTATTATTTAATAAAAAATAAAATATGCATATTTCAATATTAATATAAAAACATAAAAGAATTTATTAATTTACGAAACTTAAACTCTATCACCAATTTCTAAATATTTTAGTATTTATTTATTAATATAAAATAAATTTTTATTAATCAATATGAAGACAGAAATTTTATAAGTTAAAAAATATTCACCACGTGAATCGCACGTGCCTTTTCCTAATATATATATATATATATATATATATATATATATATATATATATATATGCAACAATAATCAAAACCCATAAAAATATCTTAATCGGATAAATCTTCAATTTAAATCTAGATTATCAATATTAAAAACTAAAAATCATGAAATAAAATTTTAAATCTTAAAAGTCCGGGTTGTCACAGATCTACCACAATTTTAGACGAGTTTGGAGATCTATTCTATTTTGCTATCTTTTGTATTAGAACTCAAATATTTTGTAAATGTAATCTTAACTATTTTGTGAAACTTTAGTTCATAATGTTGTAAGTTATGAAGTTTTAAATTTTAACTACATTTTATGGACTGTAACTTGATGTAACTAAGGTGTGTTCCTTATTTGGATGAGATGAAAGAACAAGACTTTTTATATGTATGTAATCATTTTGGGAATGTGGTATAATATTTGTATTGTGCGTTGGGACAGGATAGATTAGTTTTAAGGCCCAGTGAGGCTATTGCATTTTTATATATTTCAATATGTTGTAGAGGGACTTTTTCTACGGAAGTCATGCTAAAATTTTATATATTTTATTATTATTATTATTATTTTGGTATCTTTTGGGCGTTATATCATCCTCCTCTTGCTTCTCTCACACAATGAGAATTTTGGCAACCCTTCCCCATCAGTCAATTGGAGTAGCCTAGTCTGGTTCAAGAGCAACATTCCCAACACAGGTTTGCGTTATGGATGGCCCTCAAGAACAAATTCTCAACTCTTAACAGCCCTTCCATGTCCTTTCTTCACTTCCCCAATTTTTGCTTCCTCCCGAGTCTATCCTCACATTCTATTTTCCTGTCCTTCTCCTCCCTTTTTGGTCTAACATTTTATTTTAGTTCAGTGTGGTCTGCACTTTGCCCCAACCAGCTGGTATTCCTTTGTAGATTCAATTTCCTTCCAATGTTCTTCCTCTAACAACCCTAAATTCCTACCCTTTACGCTCCTCTTTGCCATCACAATGTAATGTTATTTGGCAGGAGATGAATTTCTGAGCATTTAGAAATACAAATTAAGACAGTAACTACTAGTATTTAATCTGCATATTATATGACATTGCATATAAATTTTCAAATACTTTAAGTTGAAATAACTTGCCAAAATTCTTTAAATTGACTTTATAAGTAATACCAGTATCTTAAAGGACTAGAAGAATTCTTGCATTTGATATTAAGATTACATTACATGAAAAGAAATTTCTTACTTTTATTTAATACAGTAATCGACAATCTAATGTAATATCCATATGTTTACATTTTATTTGTTTTCTGTAAATAAAAACATTATAGATGAAACAACTGTGCAAGAGCAAATAGGAAATCCCCAAGAAGAAAGGAAGGAGAGCAACCACCTCAACACAAGAAAGGTAAGAGGCTACAACTGATAAAACAGTACCAGACAACCAAATCAAAAAAGGAACCAAGCCAACTGAAAAATCCATTACTCTTTGATATAGCATATAGGCATCTGATAATGCCTAAAACAGTTATGTCACGAGTATAAGAAGGAAATGAAAAGAAATGATAAACAATACGGATGAGAATTTGAACAAATGTCCACCCTCAGATACATCAATTGCAGAAAACACTTCAATGGCATTTAGGAGCGGCGCCAAAGTTATGCCCTCTGCCGGAGAAATAATCACATTGGATGAACCATTGACTGGCACAAAAAACAGTGTTACCACATGGAATTGATTATACGACGAACTGTTAATATTAGGGATATCTGTAACAACCATTTTGTTGTTGTCTATGTAGATTTCAACGCTGCTAGTTTGATTTTGTGCCAACCGAGAAACTGGGTCCATGAAATAGAGCACAAAGTAGGCTTGTACTGCTGTTCTGGGGGAAAAATCGATGGACAAATATATAGAGTCTGTTAGATTTTGTGATTGGATAGCATATCCCATTACTGGCCATGGTGGTCTGTTTTCTCCCAACAAGAAATAATGAGATATGTAGTTGGCATGGATGTTGACATAATTTGACAATTCTTTGGATTTCCAAATCCGGTTGTAGCGTTCTGCACTGGGATCTATACTTTGCCTGTAAATTCCATACCCGTACATCCCAGCAGTTAGTTACCATTAGCACGGGGTTCCGTAGGATTGTGTAATTTGGAAATGCACTTAAAAAAATGACACAGGAAAAAAGTAGTAGTTTGTTGTTTTGAATATGGTAAAAAAATGAGCTCTCTGGTAATGTATAAATATATTTACCTTAAGTGTGTTTTTTGGGTGTGAGGTAAATACTCTCATGCACACACAGGAATGCTCCCTCACCTCTCCTTTGAGGAAGGGGAGGTTATACTAGCTAGGCTAATGGCCCAATGGTTACCTTTAAGTTTATCAGGGCTGCAAATTAAATGCATATCACAGAGAAGAGAATTAGAAGTCAAATTTACTTACTCAACACTTGTATCTGCACCGTAGTTAATCCTGCTATGAAGGTACAAAGTTGTGGTGTTGTCCATCCATTCATAAGCATCAATAATGTAATAAGCTTCAAGAGATGTAATGATGGGAACATCACTGTCCATAGTACGAATCAAGCACACCCTAACTCGCGACTTCTTTGTTACGTAAAGCAGTTCATAGTAGATCATCTCTTCGCTCATGGAAGTCGTTACATTTGCCCATAAGTTCCCATCTATCTCTAAATAAAAGCTTGGTGGATTTGAGAGACCATCGTAATTGCCATAGTAAAAACCTGCTCGAAAAAAATACTTGGCATCTACGTCATAGAAGGGTAATGTATAGCAGTTCTTGCGGCCTTTGGGGAAGAAACGTAAGGTATTCATCTGAAATTGAGTGTGGCTGGAGGAGAGGAATTTGTTGTCTCCAGTTTTAATGAACTTTTCATCGGTTTGCCACAGTATGTAGCTTTTATTGGTGTCGGGGGTTTCACTGTATGCTCCACAGTCTATGCACAAGTCCTGGAACCTACCTGTGATCATATACTATATAGATTATTAGGTTATATATAGAGATGATTTGATAAACATGATTAAGCCAACTACTGATTGAGCCTTACCATATGAAGAAGCCTTTGGTGCAAAAAGCACCAGCAAGAGCACCGCCATTGTTTTCCATCGATCCATGGAGAGAGAGAAAGAGAGGGACTCATACATTGGAGTTTTGGAAAATGTTCAAACATAAGTAGGCAATTGGCAAAGGACATAAAAAATGAAGTAAAGTGTGATGGACCAATTACGCCGTTTATGTGGTAGCCATAGATATATATATATACAGTTCACATCAATGTCACCATAGACTTTTGATACTATGTATTGAAGTTGGCACATGTGATATTACATTTGATTTATTATGTTGGCCGGCCTTTGGATGTTGAAGTTAATTCCTATGTATTTGGGTATTACATCATATTTGCCTGCAACGGTGACTGTAACACATAACATTTGGTATTTGCCATAAAGAACACTCCAATAGGATTTCTTTTGTTTATTCTTGAGTCGCCAATACCTACTTGGTGTAAAGTGGCCAATTGGAAGCACATTTGGCATATTCTCTTCCAAAAATAATCCAAGTATATTGACAAAGTGGATTATACTTATATATATCTCATAAAAACAACAGTTTTTGGGAGCTTAAACCTCATACATATCACTCATGGACCTGGAGACACATACTGAAGCTCTGGGATACAATTCAGTCTCTCATCAGATACATAGTTGGAGATGGCAGAAACGCCAATCTCTGGCTTGACCCTTGGTTCTCAAACGAAGCCTTAATCAACAGACTTGGGTGTAGAAATCGTACTAATTCAAGGATAGACAAACTTGCCACAATTAGCTCAATTAATATTCAAAATAGGCAATGGAACATTCCTCACTTCTAATCTGAAATTATTCTTGATATTTCTAACCCGTCCTCTCTCCCTCTCCTCACTCAAAACCTGGACAAAAGTTTTTGGATCCCTTCATTTTTATCCTCATTTTCCTTCTCTCACACAATGAGAATTTTGTGTGGCCTAGTCTGGTTCAAGGGGAACATAATTTCGTGTTATGGATGGGCCAAATGGCCCTCAAGATCAAATTCTCAACTCTTGACTGGCCTTCCACTTTCTTCACTTCCCTACAACCCTAATTTCCTTCCACTGTGCTTCCTCTAGCAACCCTAAATTCCTACCCTTTGAGCTTCTCTTTGCTATCACAGTGTATTATATTTGGCAGGAGAGGAATTTCAGAGAATTTTGAAGTAACAATTAAGATAGTAACTTCAAGTATCTAATCTGCACATATCTGACATTCATATAAATTTTTAAATACTTTAAGCATGTAATAACTTGCCAAAATGCTTTAAATTAACTTTGTAAGTATCTGTAGTCCCTTCAAGGACTACTGTAATCGCCAGTAATGCCTAAAACATTTATTATGTCACAAGAATAATAATCACATGAAGAAAAATGATAAACAGTACTGATGAGAAGTTAAACAAATGTCCACCCTCAGACACATCAATTGCAGAAAACACTTCCATGGCATTTATGAGTGGGGCCAAAGTCGAGCCTTCTGCCGGAGAAATAGTCACATTGGCCGAACCATTGACTGGCACAGAAAACAGCGTCACAGCATGGAATTGGTCATAAATATAACCATCAATATTAGGGATATCGGTAACAGCCATTTTGTTGTCGTCTATGTAGATCTCAACACTGCTAGTTTGATTTTGCTCAAACCGAGAAACAGGGTCCATGAAATTGTAATGTTTGTAATTTATTTGCACATGTATACATATTTGTGGTGCAAAAGAAAATTCGAAGAAAATGGGGTTTTAAAATTTGGTGGTGGAGCCCACCTTGCACTTAAAGGAAATTGTGGCCAAGAGACCATTTGGTCTTATCGTCCTTCTCTCTTCCTGTAAGTCTCTCTCTCTCTATCTTGTTCTTCATTTTTCTTTTTCTTTTTTGCTACAAAAAATTCAAGTTTCAATTACTTCCTCATATCTTGGAGTTTTTGGGTGCCGTTTGCGGCAAAACGGACGAGATCTACGTGTGAGTACAAACAATTAAGAATTCTGAAAATTTGGACCCATTTGAGGGTTTTCTACAATTAAGAGGTAGGGGTGCTCTAATTCATGTTTTCTTTGATCTTTTGTGAATTTTCCCCTTTAATTTGATTATAAGCATGGTTGATTTTAGCAATTTTGCCTACGTTGTTGTGGTTGTATGTAATTAAGGTGATGGATGTATTATATGTGTTAATTGAACCAATGATTATGATTATATACTTGGTGGTGAAGATACATGCTTAGTATTGACATTTTAGATGCCCCATGATTTTTAATTGTTAAGAAAAGTGATACTGAAATTGTGAAAATAAATGTTAGGATTTCCCTTAATAATGTGATCATGATGTAGATGGAATGTATGGGATTTATTGTAAATTTTTCTTGAGAAACTGCCATGATGCTAGATATATGATGTGCACCTCAATGTGTGTTATGTGTAAATAATATATGTCTGTATGATTTGTTGATTGGATATGGAAAGCATGCTTTTGTGATAATGTTCCTATTTAATATGTGTAATTGTAGAAATTTTGTTGACTTAAAGTATGCTATAAATTCATGAGAAAATTCTTCTTTAGTATGAAATGTTGTTAAGCTTTGATGATGTAAAAATTATGGTAAATTGTGAAGCATGAAGCATTCATGCATCCATTGGGAAAGAAAAAAAAAGAAAAAATATTTTTTTAAAAAACCAATGAAATTGTTTTGGGGAAACATTTTTGAAAGTGTTTGTGAAAATCGGACGCCTAGGAGGTGCCTAGTGGTCCGTGGTGTTAGTGTAGTCTAGAGGGGAGTATGGTTGAGCTAATTAGGCCGGATGCGACGCTTTGGAGGTGCCTTGTGGTCGTTGATAGTTGGCCAATTCTCCTTTTGTGACGCCTTGGAGGTGTCTTGGGTCGGATTACACTAACGGTTTAGAAGTTGAAACGGAAATGTTTCAGAAATGGGGAGCGACATGAGCATGGCATTGCACTTCATTGGCATAGATGGTGTATTTGTGACTTGGATGACATTCGTGTTTATATTGGATGTTGTGGTTATGGCTTACATCCCCGATATAGTATGATCCCATTCTCTTGTTTTATATTATATACGTGGATTCACGGGATTATAAGAGATGTGTCTTAGACACTTCCTACTGAGTTTATGCTCACCCCATCATTTTAACATTTTTCAGGTCACGAGAAGGAAGTGGCGGACGACGTTCCTCCACAGGTTTTGATGGGTTAGTGAACTGTTTGACATATTTTGTAGCTATGATCTCATATTATTATTATTATTATTATTATTTATAAACCCTTGAATGACACATATATTATGTATTAATATAGGAAAGGACGGTAACGTCTTTAGTTGACCTCGTGTTTGGGTAAAGACCTGGTTAGCGATTCGGACCCTCGGATTCAGGTCGTTACAAATTTGGTATCAGAGCAATGGTTCGAAAACCATTAGGACGACAGGTAGAGACCTACCTAGGGTTGTGTGGAAAGTGGATTGCATTGTTTATGTGCTTATGTATTAAAGTGTTTGTTACATAAGAAACATGTTTAATTGCTTATGTGTTTACGGTTTTAAAAGGCATGCTTATTTGCTAAGTGTTCACATGCTTAAATGTTTAATTATTAAAATGTGTGTTATACGATAATGACGATGAAATATATAAATAATTGAAAACATATTAATTATGATATAATGACAAGTGTGATTCAAGTGATAACGGCAAGTGGTAGGCACGGTGTGTGCAATTTTATTTTAAATGATAATGTGGCAAGTAGTGAGCATGGTAGGTGCAAGCATGTCTCATATAGTATTGTGATGGTTATTAGACATGATTATGCAAGTATTTTTTTAAAAATGAAAGACGGGATGTAAAAAAAATAATAATAAATAAATAAATAAATTTAAATGATGGGACATGATTGTATCATGGTATGGAATACGGTTATTATATATATATGTATACATGTATAGGAGTAAGCGGTTGAGCATGGATGGTTGTGTGGGTTTTGACCTGAGTAGGTGAGGAGCTCGGTTGCTCCAGGGTTGTTTGGGGTGCCAGTTCTTATCAAACAAATGGCGTTGGCTTCTAGCTCGTGGATTGAGCTATTCAGTGTGTAGTCATTGTGATTATCTTGTTACATTTTGTGCGGTGCTTAGGGCACAACTTTAGAACGAGTTTATATTTCATGGCATGGTGTCTTTGTTATGTGTGAGTTTCATGCATCGGTGGATGGGTTCCTGTGACCGTGGAGGTTAGGTGTGCGAGTGAAGGTTTTGAGGGAGAAAAGTATATGACCTTAGGAGGTTAGTGTTTGTGACTTGCGTCACAGTTTGGTGCGGAGGTTCTTTTCGAACCGATCGTGGTAGGTGTGACAGAAGTTGTTTGAGTCACGAATATAGCATATGGGTTATAGATGTGTATTGCGGGGATTCTAGTGCAGTCTAAGAAAGTGTGTTGGTTACGGTTGGTTGAGAGGTGATTTTTCATTTCGAAAAGTTGTGGGGTGTGCTATGGGTAATCGACTCTCAGTTAGTCGGTTGCATGGCTCGATCGATGAGCGGGGTTTTGGGTTGGCGCGGTTGTCTAGAGAGTCTTGAGGTGGTGTATAGTGGTTAGTTTTAGCTGTGTGGTGCAGGATTGCACAATAAGGCAAGGTAGTATGGGGTCATTGGAGTGTTTGGTTGTTTGCGGATGAAGTGATAGTTGGTGAGCATTATGTTATCAAATGAATTGTGTTTTAGAATTTCAAAGCTGTGGATTAGGGTTATATTTCATATTGCGTCTGCAGTACCAGGAGATAGTGCTTGTTGTTTGAGGATTCGAAGAGATAGACTAATGATTGGGTGATTGGGATGAGGTTGATCTTGTAGGTTAGTTGGTAGCCCCATTTGATTTTTGTCGGGCCAAGAATGTTTTAAGGAACGGGAATAAGGAAAAGTAACGATATTGAACTTAGGGTATGAAGTTTCCTTGTTTGGATGCATAGATCGCTTAGAAAGAGTGGTTTGATGTTGTCGGTTAAGCGTTAATGATTGATGGCATCGTTGATGGTATTGAGGTGAAAATTGGGTGTTGATCGTTTTGATATTTGTGCTCATTTTGTTTTGAGGGTTTGTCGGCATGATATTGTCGTGTGGAGGTTCTTTTCTAATGATAAAAGTGGTTGTTGTGGGGGAGTATCGAGAGTAATGCTTATTCTTTTGTTATGATGGTATTATTTTAAGAATGTTTGAGGAAGAATCACTTGGTAGTGGCTTGATGATAATAGAGGTTCGAATTGTCCTTTGGGAAGAATGGTAATAGAGGTGTTATAGTGTAATGTTTAGCGCCGATGAGCAAAATGGTTTAAGGTATGATCCGAATATAGTTTGGGGATTATTTGTTGTGTGTTGTCAGGTAGTTGATGAGATTGTGCATCGGTTGAGGCGATTGGGGATTGATTAGTTTTTAGAGTTAGTGAGGACGATGTTGCCAAATAAGCACCTTTTTGTTTTGACGAGTAGTGGGTTGATGTGATTGACGTCACGAATCTTGTGCATGGTGTTCGAGGTAGTGTCGCCTGGGAAGGTAGAGATGGAATGGGTGGTAAAATGTCGTTTTATAGCATAGAAGTTGTCATTTAGGAGTGACTGTATCTAGGTAGAATGGGATATGGTGTCCGATGGGTTGCGATGGTTTCTAGTGTTGGTATGTTGTGAACATTAATGCTCTTGTCTGATGGTTGTGTTGTGGATTGTATCTTAGTACTCAACGAATGGGTGGTATGGATCTGATTGGCTTTGGTTAGCATGGGTGTTGCGGAGTATCGTGTGCGAGGTTTCTGTGTTGATAGGGTATAATGGTCCATTAGTGGCGAGGTCGCCTAGAATTGAGTTCGTAGTTCCATACGGGTATCCATTTGGTTCTTCTCTTTGTGTGTAAGGAGTTTAGTTCATCTCAGGTGAGATTGGGTGTCCATGGTTGGACAAATGGTGTGTAGCATGTGATAAGGTGTCGGGTGCATTCAGGTGTGAGTCGTCAGTCTCTTATGAAAGCGGGCTTTGTTACCCTTTTAGTTTGTTCTAGTACTGGCAAGGATGTCGTTTATCGTGAGTCTTACTTTCTATTTAGGAGTTATGTGCATGTGATGTTTCCGTTTTTCGCCATTTTTCTTTTTTCCAAAATTTTGTCGTTGCAAAGGTATTTTCGTCATTTTACGTTTTTTGTACTGGACACTGTGGAGAGTGCCGGATGTGTCGAATAGTCGGTTGGGGCATTCCATTAAGTAAGGAGCCCTTAGAAACGCAAGGTTTGTAATCCTTGCATTTTTCGTTTCGGGCCGGACAGTGCCGTGTGGGACCCGCAACCAGTATTGTTGCATATGGGGATTTTGGTTGGGTTCATTGCATTTCATGCATTTTATTTTATGTGATTTATGTGGTAATTGTATGGTGGTGCATTTATATATATATATATATATATATATATATATATATATATATATATATATCTATATATGTGGTGTAAAATGAAAATACGAGAAAAAAGGAAAAGATATTTCAAAGTGGTGGGACCCACCACTACCAATTAGTGGTCTAAAGACCACACTTTCTCCCTCACTTTCTCTCTCCCTGCTGGTTCTCTCTCTGATTCCCTTTACCTTGCTTTTTCTTTTCTTTTTCATTCAAACTTCAAATCTTGATTCCATCTTCAATACTTGGAATTTTTGAGTGCCGTTTACGGCAAAACGGAGTGCACTGCGAGCTCTACGCGTGAGTACCAGCAATTTCAGATTTTGTGCAACCTAGGGAGTCCGAAAATCTTGACCCATTTTGGGGGTTTTGCATAATTTCGAGGTAGGGGTTCCTAATCCATGTAATCTTGTTCTTTTGTGAGTTAATCTTTCATGAAATGTTGCT